GTATGTATGTATGTAATGTATGTATGTAAGAATATATGTATGTATGTCTATATATTGTGTGTTCAATCGGTGCCTGTATGCGTTTGAGTTAAATAGATAGTGACCAATACCCTTACAGCTCCAGAGTACGGCGAAAGAATAGCTATCATAATACACCCATGTTCTTGGAATTATTATATCAGCTCAGAGGGAACGTTTGAGTTGTTTTGTGACTTCGATAAACACAAATTAAATTTATATGCTTATGCTTCCTTCGGAACTTTTATCATGGAGCTTGCTTGTATGAGGTGCAAACCGGTGGCGTGCTGTTGGACTCGCCCAAACACTGTGAGGCCATGAACAGATTGGTCCGGATGTTCATTGTGCGTGCACAACACGTGAATAAGAACTCACGGCAACTAAATCAGATGTGCAAATCAGATGTGCTGTAAAAGTAGGAGAAAGGCTTTCCTGGTGGATGAACGTTTAAGTGTTAAGTTGGAGTTTCTGGTCGCTATACTGAGATGAGCAAACTCGCGGGTCCAGATACCCGATTCCAAGCGCACTACCAAAACCTCCACTAGATAGACATTAGGCATAGCGCTACGAGAGGAACGTCACTTAAATCATTTTTTTTTAGGTACAGAAATGAACCAGAGCGATAGGGACAGATCTCCAAGAAACTTGAGTGTGACCTCCTCACCAGAAGGCTGTCGCGCATTTGCGACTAGAACTGTGCTATTTTGACACTCTTCCTGCCAATAGCTAGAACTGTGCTATTTTGACACTCATTCTACCAATAGCTAGAACTGTGCTATTTTGGCTCTCTTTCTGCCAATAGCTAGAACTGTGCTATTTTGACACTCATTCTACCAATAGCTAGAACTGTGCTATTTTGGCTCTCTTTCTGCCAATAGCTAGAACTGTGCTATTTTGACACTCATTCTACCAATAGCTAGAACTGTGCTATTTTGGCTCTCTTTCTGCCAATAGCTAGAACTGTGCTATTTTGACACTCTTTCTGCCAATAGCAATTGCAATAGCTATTGACCATCAGACCTTTGTGCGAATCAGATCAGGCCTATCAAACTCGAGTAGTTGGTATATTTTAACCGCGAGAGGATAAATCTACTCTAAATAATGTGGAAGATGATGCCTGGGTAGATCAAGTAAATACATGAAGTGTGTATAAGTTCAAGGGGATGTACAGTTTCTCCAGGCAAACTGGGCCTCGTTCTGTAGTCCATTCCAGATCATACTATTCCGCTCACTGATGCAGGGTGCCGATTTCTCTCAATTAAAAAGATCAATTCTGAATAACGCAATCCTCTTGAGCGAACCTGAGATGCAATTAGATGCGTGAAAGTGGAGTGCTATTCTTCGATACATACTAGGATTAAAAGAATCTCCAACTTATTTATTACCTTGGAATCATTGAGCACAGTTTGGTCTTTCTCACATTATAGTCGTGCAACACACATAACTCGCTTGGTATTGTTACACAGTTTTAATCTGGCGACTAGATGCATGAAAGTGGTTTGCTATTCTTCGATACACGCTAGGATTAACAGAATCTCCAGGTTATTTATTACGTTGTCATCATTGGGCACCGTTTGGTCTTTTCCACTATATAGTCGTCACATGGTATTGTTACACAGTTTATCTGGCGATTATCTGTCTGCAAGGGTGCACAGACACATAATTACCCGTTCAGCTCGAACCAAGCTTATTCAGACATCGAACTCCTTGTTCTTCGTATTCAGCTTTAGAGATCCAGAACTCGGGCTATAAGTGATATACGGGTGTATAGTTGTGAGTAGCGTGACAAGCAAAAGCAGTTCGTAATCTGAGCGCTGAACGAAAGCAAATACACAGGTTGCGGATGTAGCAATATACAATTGCACACTTAAAAACGCGGGCACCAAATATCCCGAGGATATTCTATAAAGTAATTCGATATAACTGCAGGCGATGGCAATTGGAAAACAATCAACAAAGGTGGCAGACTACAAAATAGTCCAATAGCACCTACAAATACACTTCGAAACCCAAATTCAAAAGCTGGAGTTGATCAACGACTTACCGTGTCTTTCATGATATCTGCGAGCACAGCTCCACCCAAGAATACCATGTGCTTCCGTCTTGGAGGATCTTCGATTCTTACTTTGAAGTTCTGTAGGTTTTGAAATCAAGCACGAACTTTAGAATTGGCATATAAAGCTAGCAATATTCCGTCATCGCAGGCGGAAATATACCGTCGAGAGGTCGATACGGGATCTAGACAGGCGAACATGGAAGAAACACTAACCCTCACAGAGATGAATATTTGAATTTGTGGACATGTACACACATTCTAGTGATAAAATATGAACGATAACGTATCTAGATCTCGCCCCTCGATTATCATTTTCTAAACATCCATCATTTCGCTTTGCAATCGAGCATTCGAATATGGCATCAAGACTGGTGTGACAGCAGACTCTTGTCGCCGAACAGCTGCAATCGGCTTCGTGGCCAGAAAAACGGTGAGTCCACTATCTTGTACTTGATTCTGGCGTTCCTTTATACTGAGGCGAATAATACCCAAAAAATTGAGCAAGCTTCCTCTACACACCTTGAGACGACTCGTGTCGCCTTTGAGCACACCACCCAGGTACAACTGCTTAATCTCCCTCTCCAAACGACTGGGCAGTCCCGGGTACATCGTAGACCCACCAGACAGTACAATGTGTTTGTAGAACTCGGACCGGGTATCAATATCAGCCGACTGAATGGTGCTGTACAGCATCTCAGCGATGCCCTGGCTTTCCACATTAATGAGGTGAGGTTGGAATAGAGCCTCAGGCGCGGAGAAGCGCTCCTCGCCAATCTTAACCACGCGACCGTCGGGCAGCTCAAAGGACTCTGTGAGTACAGTGGTCTCGTCTGCAAGCTTCTTCTCTTGGTCTACGTCGTAGCTGCATGGATGTGGGACGGTAGGTGAGAGCAGATACATGGACGAGATACTGAGACGTGAATACAAGGTTGATAGCAATACAACAGGCTTGCGATGGCCTATGTGCCAGTCGGAGTTTAATTAACCGTGCGCAAAAAAGAGTTGAGAAATCTATAAACAACTAAATATTCCTGACAGACAGTCTTAAACCCCCCGCCTCAGCGTAACTAATCCCGCTCTGTGCTAATTCCTGTACACAAGCATCCTGAAAACGTACATTTGCAGTGTGCAAGTATGTATCTAACCTTTCACAAACTGTACAAATCCCTAAAATGTCCCTTCCCGCGCGTGACAATAAAAAAACAACACATTTCTGATGCACGTGATATACATATATCTGCGTAGGCCGGGATATATACAATTAACTGCGAAAACATGTGCAGGACAGCTCACAAATTTTCATTTGCCACTTGCGTCGCACATACACTCCCTTGTATCACTTGCAGCCTACACACCAGAATGGTGGTGATCTGCAAACCCCTATCACTTTCTAACAGGTTCGGCGGGTAAAATACTAAGAAGCGGTAGCGGTCTTGTCAAATACTGAACTCTCGATACTTACGCAACATAACAGTGCTTCTCCTTCAATTGTCGTACAGTCTCGAAGTCCGCAGTCTGATTAAACGCATAACCCCGCATTAACATCAGCTTGATGAGATACCGGGTAATGTCCCGTCCCGCGATATCCAGACGCCTAGTTATGTGGGGCAAAACAAATCCTTCGTATACAGGTACAATGTGGGTAACGCCATCTCCACTGTCCACCACCACTCCAGTTCGGAGCCCTTGGGCGTACAGTGTAAGCACAGCCTGAATAGCAGCAGGGTGGACAATGGTTCATATTTAAGGGTGGATTGAGCGATTCACTGGACTAGCAGATCAATAAACGTTTGATTGAAATTTTGATTCTTCTGAGAAGATGTAGATAATGCAAATATGACAATATTGACCCCGTTTTTACAAGCTTGATACTGTAGGGGAGGTGGCAGCAGATATTTACCTGAATGGCGATGTAGCAAGAGTGGAAGCCGTACTTCTCGAACATAACTTCTACCATCTTGCGACGGTTCTCGTTAGGGTTCTGGGGAGGCTCGGTCAAGAGTATCTTACTGTTGCTGGGATCAATCTGTAAGTGACGATAACATTGGCGCAGCATGAACTCAAGGATCCGTGTACTAAAATCTAAGGCGAGGACAACATCGAGCTAGGTACAACCGGACTACTGGGTACAACCAAATTGAGCACTAAATGCGAATTTTGCAATTACCTACAGAAGTTTAACTCCCACATAACACCCACCTGATTTCAAAGATATATAAAATACGAGTTTTCGTTCACCTTCTATGAATACACACTAGAGAATTCACCTTCTACAATTGTGCATGCGCAAAACAGAAATCGAAAAAGAACCCATAAGCATATATAAGTCGGCGCACTCATACGTAAATGTTTCTTTATGCATACACACGTTTGTGTCTGTGTGTGCGCGCGTGTGTGTATGATTTAAACTATATCAGACATGAGATCCACTGTTTGAATAATTGTACATGACCTTTGCTCGTGCGTACGCCTAGAGTCTGTACACATCAACTGCCAAAGTAGTCTATGGTATCCAACGATCAATCGACACAATCATTGGGAACAGTCAGACGTCTATGAGAAAACCACCGTTTGCAAAACGCAAAAAAAAAACCACTGTATTCGCTTACCTTTAGTTTCTCGTTGAATGTATAGTCCCAAACGTGTTGCATGTCCTCCCAGTTTCGCACCATACCATTTTCCATAGGGTATGAGATCTGATAGAATTCGTCGTAAGCCAAAACAGAAATAAGAAAATACTGACGCTGGTATAGCTTAAGCACAACCTATAGAAAACTATCAAGCGGACCCAGAGAAGTAAATACATATTCCTGGGACAGATATACGAAATAATTTGGGCATTTAATGTACGGCTGCTAGTTGAACCCCGCACTCGTCTACGGGAATCCATTTAATATTGAGGCACCACTTCCTATATATTATATGTTCGCGTGCGTAATTAGTGTCATAATGTGCATATATCATTCAAACAGATACATAAGTACGCACAGATTTAAATGTACCGCATGCACTAAAGGCGCATAGGCTTGTAAGTCTCAATATATCTACTTCATACGGACCAGGGTGTATAGATATAATTTATTATAACAACAAACATATATA